GGTACCAAACTTCCGGCCGTGTCTTCAGTGGACCGACCTGATGTACAAGGGGGCGGGGAGGCGGGTTCTGCTCCCAGGGGGCGACTGGGGCAGACTACCAGTCCTCCCTATACCCTTATCCATCATGATCGGTTCACTAAAGTCACTGTTGGAGGGGTTACCCTGTGTCGCGGCCGACGGTGGTTGTAACTTGTAATGCTCAGATTAATAGGTGTGATGGTCGTGATGGGATTGGAGTGTGTGGGGCAGATGGGAAAAGTGGAGACCTCGAAAAATATGTTAGGGTGGACCTGAGCTACAACTCCATTGGGGAGGACATGTTTGAGGTTGCCTTGGAATTGTCAGGGATCAAGGGGAGGTTGATCGTCCTCGACATGATTTTGCAGTACGCAACAGAGGATCACAAGCGCATGACTTTGCAGTTTGTAACAGGGATCGGAAGAACAAGAGATTATCAAAACTGGATGGCCAACCGAACAGACTTCTGTCTCATTCATCGGAGGGGACTTTCCTGCCTACTGTGTTCACACCGGGAAGAGCATAGGGAAAGTGGTCGTGAGGTCCGCAATGACCAGATCTGCATCAGCGCCATCGCTAAGATCAGGCTTATGAGACCAACTGCATTGCATGGTTCATTACCACAGGCCCATCTAAGACTTGGGCTGTGCGCTGCGTGCCTTGTTGATTTCTGGGGGTCACGTTGCAAGACAAACCACCCCACCCACTCCGCAGAACATTCCTCCAAGTCGTAGTCTCGACCCTGTGTGTGGTACTGTTCCATAGGCTGCACTGAGCATAGGAACCGCCGTTCTGTCCTTTTCTTTTAATTTTTTCCTTTGTTTTGAAAGCAAGATAAAGAACTACAGCTGTCTTCTCGCCATAAACGGGGGACAAGCTGTACTTTTTCTACTACCCTATTTTCTTCTCTCAAGAAGATATTGTGTCTACCTCACACTACCTACCTACCTACCCTACATTATTCACTGACCTATTTAGCATGGAGACATACCTTGTCTTTGCACTAGTTCAACCACAATCACGTTTCTACACCTTGAGACCGGAGCTTACGGTCTATGGATAGGGTCTAAGGCTACCTTAAATTTACCAAACAGAACTGAGCTATCCTAAGGTTATGGTTCTACATCCGCCTACCTCTGCTCTGTGCAGGGAAAGCAGTACCCAAGCTCCTAACACCTGGTGCGAGCTGAAACGACAACCACCCAGGAGGCCCAAGCCAACAATCTCTGCGGGTGAACTCGAAGCATCCCCCAGGAGGCCGGGGGGGTGGAAAAGGACGGCATTGGGTATCGAACCCACTACCTCCTGAGTGCCACTTACATGCTCAACCAACTGTGGACCTAGCCCGCTTAGGCCATTCTTTCCTTTTCAATGACATCTGGGGAGCTCTTTTTTCTCTCTTTCGGGCTTCTCTGATGGTGCGGCGGTAAAGCCTTTTGTCTTCTCTTCCAATGTTCTTTCTTCCTTTGCTGGATTGTATTGTGGAGAGCATCACCCTGATTCACCTTCCAGGGACAGAATGAAGATCATAACTACTCAGCCTTTTTTTCTGTTTTTCAAACGCATCCTGGTGTCACTCCGCTGTCCAGAGTTGCTCCTGGCCGGTGCAAGGTTCGCTCACAAGAAGGCTCCAATCTATTCATGAGCTGAGAACCACACCCAGCATCCCATAAGACAACAGATCAATCAATCAACCAACCGATCAATCAATCAGTCAATCAATCAATCTTTTTTTTCTTTTTCTTTTTTTCTCGGGGGACAAGGCAGACAAGCCACGGAGAAATAGTGGCAGCTGCATCGGACTGAATGGGAGCGTAGAATGGATTCCTAGCTGGTCTACTACTCCCCGAGCTAATTAGGCAGACTTCAGCAGGGCCAACGGGGATTTGGCAGAGGACGGCAGTCCTAGCAGGGAGCTTAAAATTAATGGTCACTGAGAGTCAGATACACTTAAACTATCAGCTTGGTATCTAAGTATGATGATCTGGTTAATGGGTCGCTGCACCCGGTTTCCAGCAGGTGCAGCTCCCCACCAATAGAAAGGAGGCATCATCCTGCGGGATCTACTAATGGGGGATGCTCTTACCAACCCCATTAGCACTGAGCGTGGGCTGGTGACATGACAGAGTTGATTGCCCTCAGCCCTGGGAGGGATACCCCGGCGGGACATGTAGAAAGGGAAATACTTCTGCCCCTTCAATCCAATCCAGATGGCCAGGAAAAAGAGTGAAAAGCAAGCAGAACTTTCCAGCTGAACAGGTTTTATTTATTTTTTTAACCAGGCCATGTAGTGTACTGTGAAGGGTGATATGAGCACCCCTCTGAAGTAGACATAAGCTGCCAGCTCCGGTCTTTTTTTTTTTTTTTTTT